GGCCCGACGGGCGGACTCGGAGCCCGAGCGCGGGGCTGACAGCCTGGAAGCCGGCGCTGACCATGAAGCGGCCCAGGGAGCCGAGCGGCTCGGACGGCGAGTCCGACGGACCCATCGACGTGGGCCGCGAGGGCGATCGGAGGTAAGGGCTGGGTCCGGGGAGCGGGACTCGGACTCACCGAGGGAGGCCCGAGGGACTCAGCGGGCGTCCGACCTGGGAGATGCCCGCAGGTTGGAGGTGTGAGCAGCGTGCACCCTTGCACACTCGCTGCGGAGTCCTGGGTGTGTCTGCCCGTCCGTGCAGGGTTCCGGATGCTGGGGTGGAGGTCTAGTTCTGCTGGGGATTTGGTGTCCAGTTATTGATGGACTTTCTGCCGAAGCGCCTCCGTGGGGGTGGCCACTGGTGAGGATTTTTCCTGGAGACATCTTGTGTATGCACCGTTCCCTCGGGGCCTGGGAGCTGTCCTTGAGCTTTTTCACTCAAGGCTGGCACTCTACCAGATGAGCCACAGTTCCATTTCTGTCTTTTTGCTGGTTAATTGGAGATTAAAGTCTTACAGATTTTCCTGCCTGGGCTGGCTTTGAACCCTGGCCCTCAGATCTTAGTTTCTTGGATAGCTAAAATTACAGACAGGAAACACTGGCACCTGGCTTCTCTTGAAGACCTTAGCAAATCTTCATGGATGTTGATTCCACATGCCCTGTCTAGAATCTGTTCACTATGTAGAATAAGAATACTTTCCCACTGTTAACCTAGTTTGATGTGCTTTTCATCGAGTTCACAAAAAGCTTCAGGGAGAACAAAAATTCTCCTTGAGCAAAGTGAAATTTAGCATTCTGGTTTTGGTTCGAAGCCAATAGTAGCCAACTTGCAAGGACCAATATTCCATTTCCAGGGCTCTTTCTACCAAACCAATGTCATTTACTTCTAGTTTATAATTATTTGATTTGATTTGAGCCTTTAGAACAAATTGCTTTTTTGTTGTTGTTGGTGGTGGTGGTGGTATGTATTTGCCAATACTGAGGCTTAAACTCAAAACCTGGGCTTTGTTCCTTATTGCTCAAGGCTGGTGCTCTACCACTTGAGCCATAGCTCCACTTTTGGCTTTTCTGGTGGTTAATTGGAGATAAAAATTTCCTACATACAGGGCACCGGTGACTCACACCTGTAATCTTAGCCTTTAATCCTAGCCCGTAATCCTTCAAACCTTGATCCTCAGATCTCAGTTTCCTGAGTAGCTAGGATTACAGACCTGAACCTCTGGTGCCAGGCACAAAAGTCCCTGTAAGGCTCCTATCTCCAATTAACCACTCAAAAATCAGAAGTTGAGCTGTGGCTCAAAGTGGTAGAGCTCTAGCCTTTAGTAAGAGCCAGGGACAGCACCTAGGCCCTGAGTTCAAGCCCCACAACAGACAAAAAAAAAAAAGTCTCATGGACTTTCCTTCCCCAGCTGACTTTGAACTGCTATCCTCAGATCTCAGCCTCTTGAGTAGCTAGGATTAGAGGTATGAGCCATCATTGCTGAGCAAGACACTGCTTTTTCAAAAACAAAACAAAACATTCTGCTGCCTCCCAGCTCTGTGAATTCTCTAAGCTTCAGTTTTCTCATCTGTAAAATGGGAATACATAATAGAGCCAATTTCATAGGAGTGTTGTAAAAATCAAATGAGAGTATAGGTCAAGAGCTTAGCTCAGGGCTCAACATGAAGCAAACGTTTAGTTAGTGCCAGGCATACGCCCTTAAAATAGCTGCAGGGACAAACCAGGAATCTGCAGGCCTGGTCAGTCCAATAGCTGCCACTAACTCTCCTTTTATGACCTTCCTTCCTTCCTTCCTTCCTTCCTTCCTTCCTTCCTTCGTTTTCCTTCAGTACTAGGAACTAAATCAAAGGCCTCATGCATCTAGGCAAACATTCTGCCACCAAGTAGTCTCAAACTAGATGCAGGCTCAGACAGTTTCCCCATCTGAGCCTGTTTCCACATCAGTATTATAAAGGAGGGTAGGAGTGAAAGGGAGAGAGCTACTTCATCTGTCTCGTCATCTCTAGACTAAAATTGGAAGGGGAACAAGCTGGGTTGTTGTCACACACCTGCCATCCCAGCAGATAGAGGAGGAGCTCAAGTCTGAAGCCAGTCTCAGCTACATGGTGAAACTCCATCTCAAATAAACAAAAACAACAGAAGAGTTAGAAGGGGATAGGGTTCATTTCTTTCTTTTTTCTTTTTGTTGGTCGTGGGGCCTGAACTCTAGGCCCGAGTGCATCCCTTAGCTCTTCAGCTCAAGGCCAGCACTCTACCACTTGAGCCACAGCAGCACTTCCAGTTTTTCTGCTTATGTGGTGCTGAGGAATTGAACCCAGGGCCTCAGGTGTGCAAGGCAAGCGCTCTACCACTGAGCCACCTTCCCAGCCCCTCTTTTTCTTTTTTGCAATACCTGGGATTGAACCTAGACCCTTGCACATGCACATGTTACATAACAGTGCGCTACCTCTGAGCCACACCCCATCCCAATTCTTAATGGTGTTTATTAAAAGCATTTCATAATTCTATTGCTCTCTAGTTTTCTGAGACCAGGAAGATGCTGACTCAATCACAAATCCTAGTTGGAGATGTAGCTCAGCAGAAGAGTGCTTGCCAAGCAGGAACATTACCCTAGGTTCAACCCCCATTAGAACCTGCAATTTAGAGAAACAATTCTCCACGCCTGTACCTGCTAGCAGGCCAACACCATGAGGGGATGGTGGAGAGAGTTACAAATTTAATGTCTCTTGGTCTTCATGGGTCCAGGGCACAAAAATGATGCCAGGGAGCTGATGTGTCCTCTACAACTATACAGCCTAGGCAAAAACTGACAGGTCAAACAAAGACTATGTATAGAACAGAAAGAGAACAGGCTGTGGCCTGTGAAGGCACCTATGTGGGGTAGGGTCATCAACAAGCAAAGATAGCAGAAAATGCTTCCTGAAGGTGATGTCAATGAGGTGTGTGTGTGTGTGTGTGTGTGTGTGTGTGTGTGTCTGTCTGTCTGTCTGTCTGTTTGTCTGTGCTTTCTTTACAGAGTTTTGTCATTTTGGCTATAGCCCACTTTTAGAGGCGCTTCTTAGAAGGGCAGACCCCTCTGAGCAGGGAAAGCAGCTGGACATCTGGCACAGGCTGACTTATAGACGCCTCTTTGTAGCACTTCCCAGAGGGCCCTCCCCCCCAGCAGACATAAATGCTTCAATTCAGGGCCTGTTGAACGATGCCTGCTGTGGTCCAGACCCAGGGCTGGGCATCAGAGCCCAGATGTATCCTGCTTGGCCTCTGCCCTCAGGGAACTCTCAGAGAAGAAGCGCTTCATGTACAAAGAAAACCAGATAAACAGTGACAAGGGCCACAAGGCTGGGGCAGCCAACCTCCTGGGGTCAGAGGCAGGGCACCAGTCCCACACACTCCGAGACCTGAGAGGAAAGAACAGGGTGTGTCCCATTGTCATGAGGGGCATTTGCCTGCTGCTAGCATCCTGCCCCGTCTGTGGGAATCACCCTATCTAAAGCCGATAACCCCTTCCCTGATGCATGTTGGGTCCAAACAGAAGACAGCCTCTTCCCTCCGCCTCTGTGAACATTTAATGAACACCTGTCACATATCAGGCTCCTTTGAAGTCAAGCCTGAGTTTGACTCTCCATTCCACGTACTCGGGAAAGTGACTTTATTCCCTTCTGAACCTGAGTTTTATCTCTTCCAAAATAAGATTGCAGATACGCTTCTCCCCAGGTGAGGCATTGGCATGCAGCACATGGTTCCTTGCTTTGGCACAAGGTCATGTCCAATAAATACTGCTGTCTAAGGGGTCACCAGCGAAAGATCTAACAGGAAGACTAGATTTACTGGGCATGATTCTTAACTCTGCTCTGTGTCTGTCACACGCATCCCCATAACTATAATTCTATTTCCTAAAAATGGAATAGAGAGCTGTTGTGCAATAAGTGAGATAGATGGATGTGGAAATTCCTTCTAGAATGAAACATACTGTTAGGTCATAATGTGATGATGAATATCCAGGGCACGTTGGCCAGAGCCCTAAATTAAAAGCCATGGAACCTAGCTCTGGTTCTGGATTTTCTCTCATTGGCTGGGCAGCCTATAGAAGATCCCTTCCTTATCTGTGTCTTTCCATTTTACCCGTGGGCTCAGTGCTATCTGAGACCTTTCATTTGGCATATTAGGATTCTGCCTTTGAATCAAGTGCAGTCATCTGCAAGAGTCCCACAGGGAAGTTCCCAGGTGGAGTCAGCACCAAGGGTGGTCAGGATCCACGACCAGATGGCCTGAAAGGCTATTCCACTCCCAGAGACTACCCTGGAATTCTGGGGCTCCAAGAGGCCCATGGAGCAGCTCTTGGTAGCCAGCATATCCTCTCTGCCTTATTTTCAGACTCTCAGAGGAGAAGCTCCCACCCCTCCTCCCACTGTCAGAGCCAGATCACAGGCTGCAGGAGCTCCGGCTGGAGGCTGTAAGGATAGAGAGACTGGAAGACTATTCAGACAGACAGGAAGTCAGACTTAGGAGAGAAAAACAATGCTGAATTGGGAGCCAGAAGACAAGGATTCTCATGCTTAGCAGCTGCGTGGGCTGAACAAGCTTCTTTAGCTCCCTGAGGCTCAGCATCCTCATCTGTGAAATGGGATTTTCTCAGGGCTCAGAGGAGAGAAAGACATGCAGTGATGCCAAGAAAACCATAAAGTGGGCCTAGGAATGTGGCTTAGAGGTAGTGTGCTTGCCTAACATGCATGAAGCTCTGGGCTCAATTCCTCAATACCACACAAACAGAAAAGGCTGGAAGTGGTGCTATGGCTCAAGTGGTAGAGTGCTAGCCTTGAGCAAAAAGAAGTTCAGGGTCAATGCTTGGGTCCTGAGTTCAAGCCCCAGGACTGGCAAAAAAAAAAAGAAAAGAAAAGAAAACCATAAAGTGAGCAGGCACTTGTGGTTTACACCTGTAATTCCAGCTACTTGAGAGGCCAAGGATGGAAACCTTGAAGCCAACCCAAGCAGGAAAGTCCATGTGACTCTTTTCTTCAATTAATCCCCCCTCAAAAAAAAAAGCCTGAAATGGAGCTATGGTTCAAGAGGTAGAATGCCAGCTTTGAGTGAAAAAAAGACAATGCCCAAGTCTTGAGTTCAAGCCCCAGTTACAACACAGGAAGAAAGGAAGGGAAGGATGGAGGAAGGGAGGGAGAGAGGAAGGAAGGAAGAAAGGAGGGAAGGAAGGAAGGAAGGAACAGAAAGCGAGCGTTGCCAATAAGATCTAGGGGGGAGGGGGAGGGGAAGACCATGCTGCAGAGAGGAATGAACCAAGAGACTGGAAAATGAGAGAGCAGAGCTGCCTGTCCTAAAATGGGTGCATCAGGCTCCAACAGATGGTCCCTGAGGAGGGATCAGGCTGAGAGGCAGTGACGTGCACAAAGCTAACCCAATACTCAGGGAGATGCTTTATCCAGCAAGGGGAACAAAGGCCATGTCTCTTATGTACCTTGGCTCCTGGGGCTTGTCCCCAGTGAACCAGGGAAGCTTTGTAAACAGACGGCTCTGCAGATCTCAGGATCTGGTGTCTGAGCTCCAGACCTGCCTCACTGTGCCCTACCTCCCAGGAGCTTTCCCAGGCCTCTTACCAGCTCTGCTTGTCCAGATGTGTGGGTGGGATACATGCTTTTCCAGATGTGGCTGCACCAAACAGAGGCATAGCGGCAAGATCTGACCTTATCTGGTCTCTCCTGCAAACGTTATTTGAAGTATTGATGAAAATGATCCAATCTCAAGTGTCATGAGGGTAGATACCTGGAGGTATCTCAAAGTAAGCCACATGCACCCCCATTCCACAAAGGCCCAGAACATAGGTTTTATGGTGGTCATATCTGTGTTCTTCAGTGATGCCAGAGAGAACAAGATGGGTATGTTCCAAATACTTTCTGAGGACCAGGGCTACCGTGGTACATGACACTGATGTCATCTGTGAGCTCATGGAGCTTGTTTGTTGGAGAGATAAATATTAAATGAGGAAGTGGTGCTGTAGCTCAAGTGGTAGAGTGTTCGCCTTGAGCTGAAGAGCTGAGGGACAGGGCCCAAGCCCAGAGTTCAAGCCCCATGACCGACCAAAAAAAATATATATATATATTAAATGAGCTGGGCATTAGTGGCTTTCACCTATAATCCTAGCTACTGAGATCTCTACTGAGATCTGAGACTCATTGAAACCAGTCTCAGTAGAAGACTTCATGAGACTCTTATTTCAGCAAAAAGCCAAAAGTAGGAGATTGGCTTTAGTGGTAGAGAGTGCCAGCCTTGGGCTAGGAAGGTGGCTCAGTGGTAGAGTGCTTGCCTTGCATGCATGAGGCCCTGAGCTCAATTCCTCAGCACCACAAAGAAGAAAAGTTGGAAGTGGCACTGTGGCTCAAGTGGTAGAGCGCTAACCTTGAGCTGAAGAGTGCAGGAACAGTGCCCAGGCCCAGAGTTCAGGCCCCACAACTGACAAGAGAGAGAGAGCCTTGTAAAAAAGAAAAAAAGCCAATAGAGAGCTTGAGGCCCTGAGTTCAAACCCCAATACTCTCTCTGTCCCTCTGTCTCTGTCTGTCTGTCTCTGTCTGTCTGTCTCTTGCATACACATACATACATACACACACACACACACACACACACACACAAAGAATATTAATTTTTTTAAAAAAACCTTGTAAGTACGAAACACAAACTGGCAGTAGGCTAGGATTGTATAGAACAAAGACCATCTAGTGGAAGTGAGGATGTTAAAAACGAAAAAGGAGTTGACATTTGAGTTGAGATCTACAGGATGTTTGAAGTTACTAGTCAAAGGGGTTGGGGTTTGGGATGGAGAGATGGAGTAGAACAGAGGATTCTAGAGTAGGGGAACAGGATGTGAAACTACAGGAGTTAGTGAGTTCACAGCAGGAGCACACACAATGAAAGAGAATTGAAATGTGGAAGTGATAGGGGCCACCTGGGCCACCTGAAGGATAGTGGTTTTGATCTTCAAAGCATTGGGAGAGCTGGGGGTATAACTCAAATGGTAGAGCACTTGTGTAGCAAGCACAAGTTCAACACCCTTGTAAGTGTAAGTGTGTATGTGATCATACTGAGGAGGCACTGGTGGCTCACACCTGTAATCCTAGCTACTTAGGAAATTGAGATCTGAGAATTTGTAGTTCAAAGCCGGCTTGGGCAGGAAAGTCCACGAGACTCATCTCCAATTAACCATCAAAAAAAGCTGGAAATGGAGCTGTGGCTCAAGTGGAAAAGCACCAGTCTTGAACAAAAAGGCTGAGGGACAGTGCCCAGGCCCAGAATTCAAGCCCCAGGACCAACACACACACACACACACAGAATTCAAGCCCCAGGACCAACACACACACACACACACACACAAACACACACCACTCAGATTTGCATTTAAATGATCACTGTGCCTGCAGTGGGAATAGAGAGGGTACAAACAGACCTAAGGAGAGACCACGGAGAGTGGGGCCCCATAGGCTCATGCAGGCCTCCAAGTGAGAGATGTCAAGAGGCCTGGTCCTGAATACTAAGTCAGGAGGACAAACATGACGCACAGTTTACAACAGAGCAGGCAGGTTTGGATGGAGTAGAGTGAGGATGAAGGAAGACAGGGTCAATCAAAGTGCCAGGTTTCAGCCTTGCAGAACTCCAAGCTGGGGGTGACCCCAGTGAGATGGAAAACCCAGGGGACAAGGAGCAGGGGTGAAGGTAAGTGAGGGTTCCTGTTCAGATGTGTGGCATTGGGCAGGTGAACACCTGCAGGCCTGAACAGGTCCTCCTATGTTGGCTACATAAAGGATACCTTGGTGTAATCTAGACGGTCAGCAATTGGTCTGCAGGTCAAAATCTGAAGGGGCAGGGCCCCCTTCACAATCTTCCCTACCATCCCTGCCCCCACCGCCCCCTGCCCAGGGGCTGAGCCTGTTCTTAATGAAAACTCCTGGGCTGCAGGCGAATGTCCATGATGCAGCTGGGGCTGCAAAGGAAGGCCTGGGTTCCGCCTGGGTTATGGAGGAACGCAGGCCTTCAGGGAGGCCAGGGCAGTGTCCCCAAGCATTCAAGAGGGGCCTGTGACCCAGATGCTGCCTCCCCTGGCCTGCCGCGTGGGAGGAGGCGGCAGCTGCGGGCCGGGCGGAGGGCGGTGGCGCCGGCCGTGGGAAGCGGCGGCATCTGCTCTTTCCACGCTCCTTCCCAGGGGCTCGGCTCGCTCTGAAACCCAACCCGCCCCGCCTGGCCCCTGCTCGGGCCACCCGCCACTGCCAGGCCCGCACCATCCGCCGGCCCGCCCCCTGGATCGGGTTGCAGGACCAGATCAGAGAGTGGCAGCCCCAGGTCTAAGATCCCTGAAGCCAGGGGCAGAAGCAAGGGGTTAGGGGCTAAGCCAGGAGGTTGGGGCCAAGACAATTCTCCACTGGCTTCACACAGACTCCAACGAGCGCGGCAGGCAGACAGCTCAGAGCACATGGAGGACTTGGCTGGGAATGAAAAGAGACCCTGGGGGGAAAGGGGGAAGGGAGTGCCCCTTCCCAGGCCAGCCCTGGAGCCCTTCCCTGGCCTGGGAGACCACGGTCCATTGCCAGCCTAGCCATTCCAATCAGTCCAGGCAGGAGAGATAGTCTCCCATCCTGAGAAAATGGCCTTTCTCTTCTTCCTCCACAGCCAGATGGCCAGGCCGCTGTCCGCCTCCAGCCCTTCACAGATGCAAGCTAGGAAGAAACGCAGAGGGGTGAGTGTGCTCTCAGTCCTGCAGTGGCCCAGTCAGTTTTCCCTGGATCCTCCCAGAGGGAGGGGTTGGGGCTGGCCCATGAACCTGTCCTTGAAACATCACGTCACCCCAAGCCAGCCGCCCAGGGTTCAAATCCAGGGAAACCACTTCTCCTTCAGTGCCTTATTTCCGCCTGTATATGGCTGGAATCGTGAAGATTAAGTGCATAAGGGCTCTCTGAGCAACATCTGTTACTTTTGTTCCAGTTTCCCCTTCCTCCCTCCCCCCTTCCCCCCCCCCCAGCCTAGAACTTCTCTCAGTGAGTGAGGAGGCAGGCAGAATGAGAAGGCTTACCGCTTTCCACTGTCCATCTTGTCCAGCCCTGCCTCTCACCCAGGAAACAGCTGTGCTTGCACACTGGGAATGCAATGGCTGAGGATCTGACAGAGGCCAGCCAGGCCACTCACTCCCCATGAGCCCTTAGACAAGCCACTTCCCTCCCACACTCATGATTGTGTGTGTGTGTGTGTGTGTGTGTGTGTGTGTGTGTGTGTCCCCTGATACTGAGGTTTGAACTCAAGGCATGGGCACTGTCCCTGAGCTTTTTTTACTCCAGGCTAATGGTTTGCAACCTGAGCCATACCTCCACTTCCAGCTTTTTCTTTATTTTTTTCTTCCTTTTTTTTTTTTTTTTGCTGGTCCTGGGGCTTGAACTCAGGACCTATGCCCCTGTGACTCTTTGTGCTCAAGGCTAGCACTTTACTACTTGATCCACAGTGCCACTTTGGGCTTTTTCTGAATAGTTTATTGGTGATAAGATTCTCATAGACTTTCTGCCTAGGCTGGCTTTGAACCACAATCTTCAGATCTCAGCCACCTAAGAATTAATTACAATAGGCAGGGTCCACTGGCGCCTGGCTCACTTCCAGCTTTTTGGTTGTTAATCAGAGATAAGAGTTTCACTGACTTTCCTACCTGTGCTAGCTCCAAATATTGATCCACAGATTCCAGCTTCCTGAGTAGCTAGGATTACAGATGTGAGCCAATAGTGCCAGGCCACGTTCATGTTCTTTCTCTGAAAAATGAAAGGTTATTTTCCTGCCCTACTATGTGTATTCTGCTACCAGGATTGAGAGAGAAGGAAATAATGTAAATGAAGGGCTCTACAGCTAGAAAGGACAAGTCCTAGAACTCTCAGCACCTCTGGTAACCCAGACACAGGAAGACTAACACTGGTGCAACTGCTGCTCCCCCCTGCAGGGGGCAGGGGGAGCAGGGCTGAGGCTGGTGCTCCCATTCTGACTGGCCCACACCCTGCTTTACCTGGGACTAACCATCCTAAATAAGCTCTGTCTCCTCCCCTCCCACTCCACCTTACAGACCAAGACACAAGATCTGACTTCTTCCAGGTTTGTGCTCTCTAGCTGTGAGTCCTCAAGCAAATTACTGAGCCTCAGTTTCCTCCTCCCTCATGAAAATATGATGAGGGAAAATGAGTCAGAGTCCATCCAGGCACACAGGAACTGTGAGAGAGTGCGTACATGTGGGTAATTTCTTGTCGTTCATTTGCAGATCATAGAGAAACGACGTCGAGATCGCATCAACAGTAGTCTCTCTGAACTGCGGCGCCTGGTCCCCACTGCCTTTGAGAAACAGGTAGGTGATATTGCTGATGGAGCCAGAGGAAATACTGAGTTAGTGACAAGTAGGGTGTGTCTCTCATAGCAGCTTTTGCAAAGGGATATTGGCTGATAGGGTATTGTGGTCATTTAGGAATAGCTGTCACCAGCTGGGGACAAAGAATGGAAATTTAGCCAGGCACTGGTGGCTCATGCCTATAATTCTAGCTACTTAAGATGCTGAGATCTGAGGATAGAGGTTGGAAGCCACCTTGGGCAGGTAAGAGTCCACGAGACTCTTATCTCCAATTAACTAGCAAAAGGTTGGAAGTAAAAGTATGGCTCAAGTGGTAGAGTGCCAACCATGAATGCAAAAGCTAAGTGAGAGCACTAGGTCCTAAGTTCTAGACCCATTACTAGCCCATACAGAAAAAAAAAGAGAGAGAATGGTAGTGGAGCACTGGTGGCTCACATCTGTAATCTTAGATATGCAGGAGGCTGGGATTTGAGAATTGCAGTTCAAAGCCAGCCCAGGAAAGAAAGTCTATAATTCTTATCTCCATTTTAACTACGCCCCCCCCCCACAAAAAAACCCAAATAAACAGAAGTAGCCAGGCACTGGTGGATCATGCCTGTAATCCTAACTACTTGAGATCTTGAGATCTGAGGATCATGGGTTGAAGCCAGGCAGGAAAGGCTTACTCTTATTTCCAGGAAGTTACTCAGAAAAAGCCAAAAGTGGTACTGTGGCTCCAAGCAGTGGTAGAACGCTAACCTTGAGCAAAAGAGTTCAAGGGCCCAGGCCCTGATTTCAAGTCCCAAGACTTACAAAAAGGAAGAAAAGTAAATTTATACTTAGCGAAATGTTGCAGCTATGGTGACTTTATATCCGACTTACGTCCATTTATGTAGAATCCAAAAAAATGATTCAGAATAGAGCTCATTCTAAATGTGCTAGGCACAGAGAACAGAGATCTCCCAACTCGCATTCAGCCACTTACTAGCTGAGCAGAAAGGAAACATGGGACTCTGCGATGTGACTCCTGACATTTCCAGAGCTCTTTGGAGGCGAGACAGGTAGCTGAGAGAGTGAACACTCTGTCACTGAACCTGTTGAGCTGAAGGGATTTGGCAGGGAGTCATTTGGTTAAATCAGACAGCATCAGATATTCTTGCCTTAAGCTGCAAAGCACGGGTGGCGTACAGGTGAGAAGTCAGTTATCCCACAGATGTTCACTGAAACCTTTTGGGGAGCACCCATGAACTAGACCTGGAGTCTACCTTCAAGGGACTCTTGTGGAGAGGGAGAGGCTCGGGTTCTTCCTGGGAAGACGGCTTCAGAAGCATTTCACAAGAGAGAATTCAAGACAGTGAGCCCTCATGACAGGCAGGGCTGGTGAGTATCAGGGGCTGACTGGAACCTGCATGCCTTCTGTACCTACAGGGCTCTTCCAAACTGGAGAAAGCTGAGGTCTTGCAGATGACGGTGGATCACTTGAAAATGCTCCACGCCACTGGCGGGACAGGTACTGATGCTCTTCTCTCTTGGGATTCAGTTGTAATGACAAATATTTGAGGCTGGGTCCTGAGGATCCTCTGGTGAGCCACAGCAAACAAATCCCATTGATTGTTCAGCAAGCTTGTGATTCGTCTCTCAGCATGGCCTGTTCCACTCTCGGTGTTGCCACCTCTGCCCTTCCAGGCCTTGCAGGAGCTTTCTCACCATGACATTGTTCTTGCCTCCAGGAAATTAAGGGGTGACCCAAAGGAGCCAACTGCAGCCTGAGACCTGCCTGAATCCAGAAAGGAAACACCTGATGTATTTATTTACTTTGTTTTTGTGACATTGGAGATTCAACTCAGGGCCTCTAGCTTGTTAGTCAGGCATTCTACTATTTGAGCCATGCCTCTAGTCTCTTTTTATTTTTATTTTTTTTAAATTTTTTTTGGGGGTCCAGTCGTGGGGCCTGAACTCTGGGCCTGGGCGCTGTCCCTCAGCTCTTCAGCTCAAGGCTAATGCTCTACCACTTGAGCCACAGTGCCACTTCTGGCTTTTTTCTTTTTGCTTATGTGGTGCTGAGGAATCGAACCCGGGGCCTCTGGCGTGCAAGGCAAGTGCTCTACCACTGAGCCACCTTCCCAGCCCCTCTAGTCTCCTTTTAATTCATTATTTTCACTTTGTTCCCAGGCTGGCCTAAGTCCTGTTCCTTTTGTGTTTCCCTGCATCACTGGGATGACAGGCACACACCACCTTGCTAGTCATTGTTTAGGATGGAGATTTGAAAACTTCTTGTTCAGGCTGGCTTCAAACCATAAACCCCAAGCTCTGCCTCCCTATTAGCTAGGATTTCAGGTTTGAGCCTCTATGCCTAGCCTCCACCTGAAAATTCTAACCAGAGATGTTTTCTTGGTTTAAGTTTCTGGGTTGCTGTTATGTCCTAGGCAGTGCTGGGTGACATGCCAAATTCACAGCAGGTGTCCAGATTGAAGGAGAACACAAATCATTCTATTATTTTAAATTAGACCCTTAAAATCATGCACCTATAGCTTCAAAGAGACTTCCTTGCCAGGTGCCAGTAACTCATGCCTGTAATCGTAGCTACTTGGGAGGCTGAGATCTGAGAATTGAGGTTCAGAGCTAGTCCTGGAAGGCAAATCTAAGAGATTTTCATCACCAGTTAACTAGCAAAAAGCCAGAAGTGGAGGCATGGCTCAAGTGTTAGAGCACCAGCTATGAGGAAAAAAGTGGAGTAAGACTTTCTTTATGTATATATATATATGTATATTAATAAGTTTTTTATTGTGAAAATACCATACAGAGGGATTTACAATTACAAGAGCAACGTAATGAGTACATTTCTTATCAAGCATTGTTGCCTCCTCTGTTTCCCTTACCATCCCTGCCCTCCCATTTCCCTCGCCCCCCCCCCCCAGTAAAACTTTCTGTAGCTAGGCAAGGTGGCTCAGATCTACAATCCCAGCTACTTGGGAGATGGAAGTCAGGAGGACTCATAGTTTAATGTCAGCTGAGACAAAAAGGAAGCCCTTCATTTTAATCAACAAACCAGATTAATAGTGTGTATCTGTAGCTCCTATATAAGGGAGGAATAGGTAAAACTGTGAGACATTGTTTGAAAAATAAAGCAGCCAGGCACCGGTGGCTCATGCCTGTAATCCTAGCTACTAAGGAGGCTGAGATGTGAGTATCATGGTTCAAAGCCAGCCCAGGCAGGAAAGTCCCTGAGACTCTTATCTCCAATAAACCACCAGAAAACCAGAAGTGGCACTGTGGTTTGAGTGGTAGAGCGCTCATCTTGAGCTGAAGAGCTGAGGGACAGCGGCCAGGCCTAGAGTTCAAGCCCCACAACTGACAAAACAAAAAACTAAAAGCAAAAAAGGCTAGAGGTGTTCAAGTGGTAGAACACCCTGATTTCAAACCTCAGCACTGCCCAAACAACAAAAAATGTATACTTTTTATTTATTTTTTATTTTTTTGGTCAATCGTGAGGCCTGAACTCTGGGTCTGGGCGCCATCCCTCAGCTCTTCAGCTTGAGCCACAGCACCACTTCTGGCTTTTTCTGCTTATGTGGTGCTGAGGAATCGAACCCAGGGTCTCATGCGTGCGAGGCAAGCACTCTACCACTGAGCCACCTTCCCAGCCCCAAATGAAAATTTTTGTCTCACGTCTTGGACACAAAGACAAAGTCCCAAAGACAATTTGCTACTTAGAAAGAGAACCATTGCTTTTTTATTTTATTTTTTTATACCGATACAGGAGTTTGAATTGGGGCCTTGGGCTCTCACTTGGCTTTTTGTTCAAGGTAGAACTCTACCATTTGAACCATCCCTCTACTTCCAGCTTTTTGCTGCTCAGTGGCAGAAGAGGTTTTTTTTTGTTTTTTTGTTTTTTTTTTTTTTTGCCAGTCCTGGGGCTTGAACTCAGGGCCTGGGCACTGTCCCTGAGCTTCTTTTGCTCAAGGCTAGCACTCTACCACTTGAGCCACAGCTCCACTTTCAGCTTTTTCTGTTTTTAAGGTACTAAAGAATCGAACCCAAGTCTTCATCCATGCTAGGCAAGCACTCTACCACTGAGCCACATTCCCAGCCCTTGATAAGAGTCTCATAGACTTTTCTTCCAGGGTTGGTTTTGAAACATGATCCTCAGATAATCAGCTTCTACAGAACTAGGATTACAGGCTAAGCCACTAGTGCCCAGCCGGACATTTACATTTTACAAGGCCCAATCTAGTGTTTCTTTGTCCTCAGAGTGAAACAGTGTCCTATGGGGGCAAATGGAGTCACAGGTCACCCCAGATATTATGAGACAGGAGGTCTGTACTGGAGTTTAGGAGTTTGCCAGTTTAACAAGCCTGCCCTCTTACCCTGACAGGTATGCTTTTGAGAACTCTACAGAGGAATGCATTGCTCAAGGTGGAGCTTAGCAGCTGGTGGCGAGATAGTTCAAATTACGCTCATGTTATCCCATTAAAAGGAAAGTAGCATAGTGGTTGGTGTGGGCAGCATTTTATAGCTTTCAAAAGTCTTCAATTTTGTTGTCTCCTTTGGTTCTCACAAGAACCAGCAAGGGGGCTTTTCTCCTCCACTTTCCTGTTCAAAGCTGAGGGGAACACTGGAGTTGTGGCTTACACACTGCCCAGGCTCTGTGCAAATGATTTAGCCTCTCTCTCCCCCTGTTTCCTCATCTTTAGTGGAAATAATGAGGAGGTATTTATAAGAATTATTAGATAATGAAATGAAATTCTTAGTAAGAAAGAAGCAGTCCTAACTCAGCATGGTGGCTTACTCCTATAATCCTAGCTACTCAGGGAGCTGAGATCTGAGGATTGAGGTTTTTTTTTTTTTTTTGCCAGTTCTGGGACTTGAACTCAGGGCCTCAGTACTGTCCTTGAGCTTCTTTTGCTCAAGGCTAGCACTCTACCACTTGAGCCACAGTGCCACTGCTGGCTTTTTCTGTTTATGTGGTGCTGAGGAATTGAACTCAGGGCTTCATGCTAGGCAAGTACTCTACCACTTAGCCACATTCCCAGCCCCTGAGACTCTTTAACTATAATTAATCACCAAAGAGCTAGCAATGAAGCTGTGGCTCAAGTAGTACAGTCCCAGCCCTGAGCAGAAAAGTCAAGCAAGAGTTCAAGGCCCTGAATTTAAGCCTTAATACAGATATAAAAAGAATCTAAAGCAGCAGATGTGAGTGTAAAAAGAATTGAAACAGAGAAATATCAAGGCCAGGTACCAGCAGCTCATTCCTGTAAGATCCTAGCTACTCAGGGGACTGAGATCTGAGGATCATGATTCAAAGCCAGCCTGGACAGCAAAGTCTGACTCTTATCTTCAATTAACCACCAAATTACCAGCAGTAGAGCTGTGGCTCAAGTAGTAGAGTGCTAGCCTTGAGAGAAAAAAAGCTCAGAGGCAGTGCCTAGGGCCTAAATTCAAACCCAGAACCCACTGCCAAAAGAAAGGAAGGAAGGAAGGAAGGAAGAAGGGAGGGAAGGAGGGAGGGAAAGGAAAGTATTGGGGTGTGCAAAGAGCTACAAATACAGCAGATCCAGGTCTCACTTGAGATGGTCCTGACTCCAAATGCAGCCTCTCGCTGAGCTTTCCTTCTGGACTGAACCATGGCCAGGATGAGGTAGCTGCTGCTGGGGTTCTGAGGCAGTACGGCCCATGGCTGCTCTGTCTTTGTTTAGAAGGTGGTCAAGAGAGGGGTGACGGTGTGCATGACCATGTAGAAAGCTCATCTGGCTGTCCCTCACTGAGGGCAAAAGAGATGGCCCCTGGCCTGATGGTTATTGCATGTGTATGCGCACGGGCACATATACACACGAGTACAGGGCTTGAATTCAGGGTCTTGGCTTTTTCACTCAAGGCTAGTATTCTACCCACTTGAGCCACACTTCCACTTTTGGCTTTTTGCTAATGAACTGGAGATAAGACTCGTGTGGGCTTTTTGTTTTTCCCCAGGCTGGCATCAGTCTACAATCCTCAGAGCTTCAGATCTCAGCCTCCTTCCTGAGAGTATATAGTTAGGATTATAGGCCTGTGTCACTGCCACTGGGCTCAGACTGCCTTTTGATCCAGGAGACAAACTCAGAATCAACAGAAGCCCAGCCAGTAATATGACAGCTCCCTGGTCATTGATGGGTATTCTCTGGGCTTTATTTCACATACCCCCTCCACCCAGTGAAGCAGGTGCCATATCCTCTCATTTTATTTCTAAGGAAAGCAAGATGGTCAGGCAGCTGATTAAATGCTCTAGTCAGGATTAGAATCTAGCTCTGTGGACTTCCAAAGTCCTTATGTTTCCCTGGGACACTATATTCCTTCCTCTGAGGGGCCTCTGGCTCTGATGACTATTGTCATCACCGCCCTTCCCTGCATCTGCTCCCAGTAGCAGGCCGGATTATTCAACACAACTACAGGTTCAGCCTTTTCCCACCTGCCAAGTGTCTCCTTACTGGAGGTACCTTGGCCCCATCATGAATTGTGATGAAATCATCCTTTACATTCTGTAATGTATTCTAGTCCAGTGAGTCCATGCCCCACCATCCTCTATCCCAGGTTGGGTTCTGCTCACACTTTACAGATATGAAGACTGAGAATGCACTCACCCAGGGTCACCCAGGGTCACCCAGAGACTGAATGAGAGGGGCATGTCCAGCTCTCCAGCAGTCTTGAGCCTGAGTGCTTCCCCAACCTGGCATTCTCTCACAGTATCTTCTTCTGCAGGATTCTTCGATGCCCGTGCCTTGGCGGTTGACTTCCGGAGCATTGGCTTTCGGGAGTGTCTCACTGAAGTCATCCGGTACCTGGGGGTCCTGGAAGGCCCCAGCAGCTGTGCAGACCCTGTCCGAATCCGCCTCCTCTCCCACCTCAACAGCTACGCAGCTGAGATGGAGCCTTCACCCACGCCAGCCGGCTCCCTGGCCTTCCCTGTGTGGCCCTGGTCCTTCTTCCATAGCTGCCCAGGGCTGCCAGCCCTGAGCAACCAGCTCACCATCCTTGGAAGAGTCCCTGGCCCCATCCTCCCCAGCACCTCCTCTCCCACTTACTCCATCCCAGCACTCCGGATCACACCTGTGCGCAGGGCCCCTGGCACCATCCTGCCAGCCCGGAGGAATTTGTTGCCCAATCGAGGGGTATCTTCCACCCAGAGGGCCTGCCTCCCAGAGAGGCCAACTGCCCCTCTGCCTGTGGTGCCAAGTAGCAGGGCCACCAGGAGCAGCCCCATCTCTCCCCTCCTAACATCATCTTCCCCCACAACTGCTTGCGTAGCCCTCCCTCCCTCCAGCCCTCCCCGCTCAGGGCCAGCAGGCAGGCCTGCAGGTGCTGTGCTTTACCATTCCTGGGTGTCTGAAATCACCGAAATTGGGGCTTTCTGAGCTGGCTTCCCATCCCCCACCTCCATCCCTCAGGAGTAAGGAAGTTTCTTTTCTTAGGAGCTCTCAAACAGGTGCTGCGTTTTCTGCTTTGCTTCCACTCAGCAGAGACCCCTTCCTCTCTCACTGCTGGTCCAGCCCACCTACCCAGCTCCTCTGGAGCTCTTCTGATCTCAGAGGCTTGGTTTGGTTTCTCACATGCCCAAGTGCCTCCCGGTGATTCACAGGCCCCTAAGAGCTGTGCCAGCCCCTCTCCTGCCCAGTATGTGTGAACCTTAGAGATACACAATACCATGAGGCCTGGCACAGTGGCTCACACCTGTAATCCCAGCTACTACTTGAGAAGTAGAGATCAGGAAGATTGTACTTTGAGGCTAGCAAGACCAAAAAGAAAAAGCCACAGAGACCTCCCCCATTTCAGCAAAGCCAGGTGTGGTTGTTTGCACCTCTAACCCCGGTTAGATAGGAGGTATAGATAGGAGGATTGTAGTCTGAGGCTGGTCCCCAGACAGAAAGCACAGGACCCTACCTGAAAAATAACCTGAAGCAAAGAAGGGCTGGAGAGATGTGCATCGAGTGGTAGAGCACCTGGTTAGCAAACACACGGCCCTGGATTCAAATCGAGTTCCACTCCCCAAAATACGTTGAGCTGAATAAAGGATACCATGGCCCTAAAAGCAGACCACTTCCCTGGAGAGGTCAGATGGCAGTCAGGTATGATAACTGGCCGCAGTTGTTGCAGGCCAAGGAGTAGAACACAGTCTGCCTCATTTCCTGCAGACAGTAACTGAGTCAGGGGTCAGAGAAACAGGCACCCAGCCTGCCCCTGCCTACTCCTTCACAGTGACTCACAGAACAGACCCCTTGTCCATTACAACCCAGGCCTGAATACTGGGGGTCAGTCTGCAGGTACCACCTTCCGGCTGATTCCCCGTGGCTGGAGGATTCTAGGTATCAGCAGAAGCTCCGGGCTGGGGTATCCTTACCACCAGGCCTCCACGGGTTACCAGGCAGAGCCAGCATTGAGCGCTGGGGAGCCCAGCTGCAGGCTTCTCTGTCCCCAGTCACAGCTCTCCAGGCACATGCCCCCCCCCCTTACTGGGTGCAGATGGCTCCATGTGCTGCCACCCAGAGGCCTCAGCCCTTGAGATACAGCACCAGACGTCTGAACTGCTTGGTTTACATCCCACTCCAAAAGCTTAGACTGCTGCCACAGCCCTGGGCTGTCAGGCCGGACGAGAATAACTACTATGCCGTGGAGGGGGGGGGTGGGAAGAACAGTGTGAGGCGGCTGGGCCCTGCAAGGTCACGCTGTGAGCGAGTCCAGGGCCTGAGATCCGCTTCACCCAGACTCCACACAGCTGGCTCTGCTCAGAGGCCACTGCGTTCCTCAGCTCTGCCTCACAGGACCAAGCAGCCAGGCGAGCGATCCCTGTGGAGTGGCAGAGACTGGGCTGACATGCAGGGTCACCCTGTCAGTGGACCAAGTGTTAGAAGTACTTCTGCCCTCACGGGGGGCCATCCACACCCCAAAGGCCTCCAAGTGTCCCCCACCACCTGCACTCCCACCTCCTCTAACCGCCACGATCTGGTTCGTGCCTGGCAGACCTGAGGCTGTGTGGAATCCTGGAACTAGTCATTTATTGGTGCTCATTTCACCTTCCCTGTAGAAAATCCCCCCACCTACACACACCCAGCCTCCCTCAAGGTTGCCAGTGAAGAGGCTCTGCAGGCACAAAAGTAGAATTTACAAAAACACTGGGGACAAAGAGCCAGTCAGAGAATTGGAGCAGAGGGCAGAAGTCATTTGCGAGATCCAGAAAAGATCTAGAAAGTACAGGCTGTTTCCTTGAGGGATAAAGTAGTAAGAACACCATTTGCCCCCGCCTGCCCCCCAAAAGGAGCTAGTCCAGTCACACTGTCCTGTAGTTCCTCCTACCCTCTGAGAAACGCAAAGCCAGGAGAGGAGGCATCCTTATTGAGCAGATCAACATGAGGCAACAGAGGTTCTACACTGAGATGGGGAAGGACAGTCACGTAAACCGTGACAGGCAAGGTGACAGATGGCAAAGCGTGTCTTCACCTTTCTCTGGGACATACCCAGAGGAGGAAGAGGATCTCCCCTCTCTCCCTGATTCCAGTTCTCACTTCCGGCCTTCCCCCCTCCTCTTCTTTCTCCTACATGATTTCCAGCTGCTCCCAGGACACAGGGGGTGTTGCCCAGTCCTGATAACCTTCCATCCTGAGAACCCAGCCCTCACTCATAGTGGGGCTGTGGGAACCACATTTCCATGATGCAGGTACCCAATTCCACAACAGTCTGCACACATCAGTAAAGTGAAGCAATTCCCCCTTCTCCCCAACTGTCAACATCTCTAGTGGTCTTGGGTTCCTTTTTCAAGAGACTAGGGAAGCTCTTGTGTGTTTGTTCCCTTGGCTGGGGACTCTGTCTTCTGTTTCTAGTCTCAAGCCTTCTCTGTGTCCCTAAATCACCCCACCCCAGTCCCACCCCTGACAGGTAATAAAGGTGTTTTGTTCTTCTGTAAACCCCTAATAAATTCTACTTGTTTGTTTGTTTATTTGTTTGTACTAGTATTGGAGCTTGAACTCAGGGCCTGGGCACTCATTGCCCCTTAGCTTTTCCACTCAAGGCTGGCACTCTACTACCTGAGCCACAGCTCTACTTCTGGGTGTTTGCTAGTTAATTGGGAGATGAGAATCTCATAGATTTCCCTGCCCCCGCTGGCATGATCCTTAAATCTCAGCATCCTGAGTAGCTAGATTACAAGTGGAAGCTTTAAAGTCTGCTTTTCTTTATCTCTGCAGCCTGTCTATTTGTGCTTGAACCCATAGCCACCACCAAGGCTGAGCCACACCACATCTCTTTCCCTAATCCCTAGAGAGCCCAAAACATGGTGATCACACGGTTTCTTTTATGGTTTAGAGTCCCTTCCTTGTTATATTGTTGTTCTACAGACAAAACCATGGTTCTCCCTCTTTTTGCTCCAGACCCTCTGTCCCCCTTCTCTCTTCATTCCTTAACATTCCAACTTGCTTCCACCTCCAGGACAGCACATCGGCTGGTCCCTCTGCCCCAAATGCTCCTCCTTCCTCTTGGCATGGCTAAGCTCTTCATCCCCTCAGTGCTTGTTTTCATTGTCACCACCTCCGAGAGGCCTCCCATGACTGCCATACTTGAATACTTCATCTCAGAAGACTCTCTTTGTTTCCCTTCATGGAGACTTTACCATTCACCTCACCCTCGTGCCCACACACACACACCTAGATTGTAAGCCCTATGAGGCCATCGAACCACCCCTGGTCTACAATTTGGTATGTACCCAGCCCTGAGCCTGGTGCCTGGCTCTTTGTCAATGTCCTCTGAATCCTTGTTGAGTGGAGAAGTCTGGTCTTGTGCTATGGTGGCACAGGCCTTCTGTGTGGGATCTCCCATCCCCACCCCCAATGACCAGCTCTGGGAGGAGGCCAGAGAGAGCAAAGTGAGAGCCAGGGCCAGGGGACTGGAAGTTCTGGCAGAAGGGTCAAGAGACTGGGCCAGAAGAGAACTCGAGTGAGTGTGCTGGCCCCAGAACATACACTGACAGCTGGGGACAAGCAGGCTGGCTCTGCCAGCACCTTCTCCTCCACTCTCAGCCTGGGTTGTTAATGTTGGCTCCCAACAAATCTAACAAACACTCCTGGAGGTCTGCTCTGTGCCCGCCCAGCCTGGCAAAGCCAGAGGTGACAAGGACACTGTCACTCTGAGCCGGGCATATCCTTCTGCCTAAGGGAGAGCTGGCACAATGGGAACAGAGAGATTGGAGGAGAAGGCCGAGCAGCAGAGTGAGGTGTTTGGGAGAGAGGCCTGGGAGGAAGCCCTTTGCGGGATGAAGGGAATTTCCCATTGTAGTGCAAAGAGGCTGGCCCTGAGCTGTGCATGGGAGGGAGGGAGGGCTAGCCTGGGCACTGAAGCCAGACTTCCTCCTCAGGCCCTTATTTATAAGTGGTGGCCTTGAGTTAATTCCTTGACAACCTTGAGCTGTAACTTTCCCATCTATAAAAAAGGGATTGCTGGGGCTGGGAAGGTGGGTCAGTGGTAGAGTACTTGCCTTGCATGCATGAGGCCCTGAGCTCGATTCCTCAATACCACATAAGCAAAAAGAAAAAAGCCGGAAGTGGCGCTGTGGCTCAAGTGGTAGAGTGCTAGCTTTGAGCTGAAGAGCTGAGGGACAGCACCCAGGCCCCATGACTGGAACCCCCCCCAAAAAAAGGGATTGCTGCCATGCACCCATGGCTCACATCTTAATCCTAGATACTCAGGAAGCTGAGATATGAGGATCAGGATTTGAAGCTAGCCAGGGCAGGAAAGGCTGTGAGACTCTTATCTCCAATTAATTACCCAAAAGCCAGAAATAGAACTGTGGTTCAAGTGGCAGAGTGCTAGCCTTGAGCAAAAAAGCTAAAGGACAGTGCCTGGGCTTTGAGTTCAAGCCCCAGTACTGGCAAAAAAAAAAAAAAGTTAAATAGGACACCAGGCTGTCTGTTCAGCCCCTGCTGGAGACCTGTGTGACCATTTGTTCCGGACATGGGTGCCACCACCCACATTCTCATAGAGTCAAACCAATGTGGCAGTCCTCCCACTCTTACCATCTGCACCTGATCTTAGAACATGAACTCTCTCTCTCTCCCTCCCTCCTTTTCCCTCTCCCTCCCTGTGTCTCTCTCTGTCTCTGTCTCTCTCTCTCTGTACCAGTACTAGAGTTCAGACTCAAGATCTCCCACTTTTACCTTTGATGCTCAAGGCTGGTGCTCTACCACTTGAGCCACATCTCCACTTCTGGTTTGGGGGGGCTAGTTAATTGGAGATAGGAGTCACTTGGGTTTGTCTGCCCAAGCTGTCAGCCTCCTAACTAGTTAGGATTACTGATGTGAGCCACTGGTACAAGGCTTTTTTGTTGTTGGTGGTGGTGGTCCTGGAGCTTGAACTTGAGACATGGGCACTGTCCCTGAGTTTGTGTGTGTGTGTGTTTGCTCAAGGCTAGCACACTACCACTTTGAGACACAACACAGCTCCACTTCCAGTTTACTAGTAGTTATTTGGAGATAAAGAGTCTCATGGCCTTTCCTGCTCGGGCTGGCTTTGAATGGCAATCCTCAGATCTCAACCTCCTGAGTAGCTAGGATTACAGCTAGGATACACCAGCACCCAGCTAGTACATGGCTTAAATAACGTTATTTATTTATAAACTTTTTATTTTATTTTTTTATTTTAGGTCTGGTCATGGGGCCTGAACTCTGGGCCTGGGCGCTGTCCCTCAGCTCTTCAGCTCAAGGCTAGTGCTCTACTACTTGAGCCA